TCACTGTTTGATGTCCATGCTGGCAAGTATTTGCTTCTCCTGACCAGGTACAATCAACGCTACCACTGTCACCACTGCTGTACGCTTATCCTCCGCGACGGCAGCGAACGTGACTACGGCTAGCACTACTACATCCGCTACTGTTTGAACTCGGTGAGGTAAGTTTCAACACCCCGAGATACCCGATGCTTGCCGCAAGCAGGTATGGTCCATGTAATTACGTGTTTGAATGTGTGTGTGTGCTATGTACCGTGTTTCTGTGCTTGTCTGTGTGTGAAAGTCCGTGCAGGAAACATCGCTAGGATATGCAGGATAAAACCGCGGTGTGGGTGGTGGCACTGCTTCTGGAGGGAGGAGTCCGAGGAGGAGGAAGAGGCAGCAGCCTTGCAGGGGAGGTAGCATAACCTGACTGTTTTAAGTAGGTAGCTCGACATACGCAAGGTGAGCGGTGGGCACACTGTCGATCGCTGTGCCATTATATTTTTTAGCGAGTCGACTCGGGCCCACAATTCATGGCAACGAATTGGAAGCGCGCCACGGGCAATGTCTTTCCCGTCATCTCCATCAGGTGCGACTGCCTGCCGCGAGTAGCTAGACAGTGACACGTTTTTCAGCGGCTGCATCGTCACAGACAGACGGATACGCCAGTGTCTGTGAATGGTTCAAACGGAGCACGGGCGTGCGATTACAGGTAGGGGCGAAGAGAAGGAGATGGTTGTTGCCCATCAGTTGAGCTGAAGTTGAGCAGGTGTGGGAATGATAAGCGTTGCATGGAAGCGTGTGATTAGCCGTTCCCGCTCTCATGTTTTCGATTCCAGCTCCGACTCCGGCTCCCCATTTTCCGACTCCGGCTTCCATCTTATCTCTCCGATTCGGGCCCCGACTCCGGCTCCCATCTTTCCGACTCTGGCTCCAACTCCGACTCCTAATTTTCCGACTCCAGCTCCCATCCGATCTCTCCGAATCCGATTCCGTTTCGAGCTCTCATTTTTCTGACTCTGGCTCCGTGTCAGGCCGTGTCCGAATCCGGCTCCGACACCTGCTTCCGTTTCCCCGACCCCAGCTCCCAATGCTCGGCTCCAGTTTCTGAGCGGCCAGCCAATGCTGGCGCCCCAGCGCCCACCCGCCGCACCCTCGTAGGTGCCTTGACGCGGGCTCTTGTCTCGTCTCGACTCGTCTTGTCTTGTCTTGTCTTGTCTTGTATGGAGGCGTTACGTGGCCAACTTGGGGAACTTTAGATGTCTTCGAATTGGGTGTTTTTTAGATGGCGGCACTTAGCGGCACGAACGCTTGCGGCCCCGAAGGGGCCGGCAGTCTCACTCACGCGCCCGTGGTTTCTCGGAGGTCGGCGACCTCGAGCCTTGATTTACAGGCCCGTGGCCCAGTTGGGGCTACTTGGCCACTAAGTGCCACTAAATGGTAATTCTCGGAACCACTGACGGCCACTAAGTGCCACGAAATGGTAATTTTGGGAACCAGTAGCGGCCACCAAGTGCCACGAAATGGTAGATCTCGGGCTACTAAGTGCCTCTAAATGGTATGTTAATGCTCGGAGCCGCTAACGGCCATCAAGTGCTGCTAAATGGTAATTATCGGAACCACTCGCGGCCACTAACTGCCACTAAATGGTATTCCTCGGAGCCAGTAGCGGCCGCTAGGTGCCACTAAATGGTAATTATCGGGGCCGCTAAATGCCACCACTAAGTGCCATTAAACGGCCGCTACATGCCGCTAGCGGCCACTAGGTGCCACTAAATGGTAATTCTTGGCGGTCGCGATGGTCAGTCCGAAGTTCCCCAGAGAGCCCACATACGAGACGTAAGCCTCCCTGATCTTGCCGGCAAGTAGTCCCCCGCTCGCCTCACTCGGGTATTGCCGAAGAGCGCATGATTGCTTGGGCGAGTGGTGCCGTGCGGGCGCCTGTGCATCTGCGTCGCCGTGCCGCCCTGCTCGATGTGAGGCCCGCTCTCACCTCGAAAGCTTCTCTGCCCCGCTTCAGCACTTCTTGGGGGCGCCGTGCACTGGGGGAGGCGCCCAAGCTCTCGGCCTGCGCCGCACGGACACTGCGCCAAGGCGCAGCTCGCAAGACCAGGAGGAGGAGGAGGAGGAGGAGGACCAGGATCAGGTTTTTGTCTGAAGGACGAAAAGCGGCCGAGGAGGCCGATGCCCGCCCTGCGGCTTGGAGCCGACTGGGGGTCTGAGGTGGCCCAGCCATGGATCCGGCGAGCAGGAAGGGGGGGGAGGTCCGAGGTTTTGGTTTCGAGACCTTTCCCACAGCGGGACCCCTCTTCTCGCCCGCCCACTCAGCTTCGCCTCGCACGAACTCACGACATGAACCCGCATACGAAACCGATTTCCCGGTGGTGGGCTCTCCGTTTCACTTCGATCTCCCCCCCCCCAATTTCCGATTTTAAGTTAGCAGAAGGTATCAGATCAAGATGCCATAGCATAACACATCATAAATCTTGTAGCATGCCACAACATAACAATCTCAAACCATGCAATGGCATATCAGAACATACAGAACAGAGCATACCACAGCACAATGTAACATCGTACCATTTTACATAGCATCACCTCACAACATACACCATGGCATATCATGTCATGGCATAGCAGAGAGTGCCATAACATAACACAGCATAGCAACGTATGCGATGACATAGGCATACAGAATGGAGCATACCACCACACCCCAAAACATGACATACCATAGCAGAGCATACCGAAACATCGCATTCCATACCATAACATGCAGTGCCATATCACAGCATAGCGTAACACGCTATTCCATACCATGACAATGCATACTATGACAGAGGGTGGCATAGCATGTTATATCCCATCGCAGAACATCAACTTCGCACACTACCATTACATAACAGAGCATACCACAGCATGACATGACATTGCATGACATGACATAACACAGCACAGCAACGCACGCCATGTCAGAGCGGACCATACAGAACATCTCATACCACCACACATCATATCATACCATACCACCTCAGACCATAACACATCATAGCATAGCATACTACAACAAAACACGTCATACCATAGCATCACATAGCACAACGTCACAGCACATACAATCCCATCACATGACACAGCATACTATGGCTGATCTTAGTGTACCATCATACAAGCTATCATATTTTTATATAACACATCATACCGTAACGTAGAATGGTGGAGCATCGTATGCCATAACGAAGCATACATCACAACGTAACATAACGACTAACACCATGACACAATGGATCATAGTAGAGTGCAGCATGACGACATACCATAACATCACATACCAGCTGTGTCTTCTTATTGTTACCGCGACGGCATCGACTGCATTCTAATACCACAGCCATACCATATTGCAGAGGACACCCATGACATCCCATAACCTAACACCATATGATGAGCAGAGCACAACGTATAACATAGTTAATACATTGGTTCGACCAATACGACAGCGAGTGTGATATAACATCAGAGACGATATTCCATTGCATAGGTACGGCATTACATAGAAATGTCATTGAACCTGCATGCAATAGCATCACAGACCATGCTATACGAAAATGAACTGATCATTACGTGAACAGTATCACTGAAAATATCATGATATAACATAGTGTGGTGCAACATGCCATGTTATAACATGGCGCCACAGAGTAAGCCATCACATAACACATCAAGTCAGACTGTGGCAGAGGTGATCATCGCAAATCATACTTTGAGAGAAAACATGTGTAAAGAGGAGCGTCAGAACATCATTTCTCAATCAGAGCTTGCCTCTGTAAGGGTCCTAGCGGATTCATATGGTTAGGTTAGGTTTGCCGCTGATTTTCACTGCACGCCCGGGTGCCCGGTGGTGCCCGGGGGTGAGGTTGGCGGCCGATTTTCGCTGCAAGCCCGGGTGCCCGGGGGGGGCCCGGGGGTTGCCCGGGTGCCCAGGTGCCCGGGTGCCTTGGCGTGCCCGGGGGTGTCCGGGGGTGCCCGGGGGTGCCCTATAGCCCAATAGCCCTATAGCCCTACAACTCTACAGCCCTATAGCTCTATAGCCCTATAGCTCAATGGCCCTATAGCCCTATAGCCCCCTAATTAACCCTATAGCCCTGATTGGGATTTCTCTCCGGTATCATAACATAACATACCGTATTATTATAGAATTAACGCGACGTGCGCGCCGAACCAAACAGGCGCAGCAACGACCGATTGGGCGGCGTATCTAACGTGAGAGTCGTCACGACGTCACCCCAGCCCGCCCAGAACAGAACACAACATAATGAAACATCATATCATGTCCTACACTGGGGCAGCGTCCAAGCGAACATATATAGCCTCCTACTACTACCCCTCTTCATCTTTCAATAGGTTGCAGACTCTCCAGACAAGTTTGGGGGTCTCGCCTCACCACGTGTTTTAGGGTTTGGTGTTCCGCCCCAGGCCTTGTTTCGGTTTCTTTCGTCAGGGGCTATCCTCCTACGACAACCTGGGGTTGTTAGATTTTTTGTCGGACAACGGCAACTTGCAACTTGGCCCGGCCGCCGCGCTGGCCGAGACCATTGGGCTTTGCGCGCATCCTTCCAGTAGGCGCGCGCATCGTCGAGAACAAACGTCGAAGGTTTCGGTGGGCATCGCTCGAAGCAGTGTATGTATGTATGTATGTATGTATGTAGGTAGGTAGGTAGGTAGGTAGGTAGGTAGGTAGGTAGGTAGGTATGTATGTATGTATGTATGTATGTATGTATGTATGTATGTGTGTGTGTATGTATGTATGTATGTATATATATGTACATACATATATATACATACATACCTACATGCATGCATGCATATATTCGTACATACATTCATGCATACATGCATGCATGCATCTATTCATAATTACATACATACATACATACATACATACATACATACATACATACATGCATGCATGCATACATACATACATACATACATACATACATACATACATACATACACTCCGTAGCCATTTTGGCTCAAGCCATTTTGGCTCAAGCCATTTTGGCTCAAGCCGGCCTCAAGCCCCCTCTCGCCTTTTCCCCCGCGCATGGCCGGTCCGGAGTTGGCGCTGCAGGAGCTGGAGGACTCGGGAATGACTACGGGGGGTGGCCCGAGTTCGTGGACGCCCAGTGCTATGAGGACAGCCGAGATCGCGCTCCTCGGACTTGCTGCTGCTCGCCGCGCAGCGCGTCGCAGGCGCCAGGCAGCCTGCGAGGCCGCCTTGCGCGCCAGGGCGTGCGTGGGCGAACCAGCCTCCTGGCAGGACAGGGAGCTGGCTGCCAGGCACGCGCTGCGGCTCGTGTCGCGCGGCCAGCCTGTCCCTGGGGGCGCGCGCAGGAGGAGGAACGCAGCGTGGCACGCCGCGCGCGTCCCTGCGGGCGGCTTCACGCGTGCCTCGCAAGGGGAGCTCGCGTGGGCGGCTGCTGGCCCCAGGCTGGGCTCCCGCTTACGGGCCACCGCCGACGCTTTCATGTCGCAGGCCGCTGTCTCTGGAGAGGGTGCTGCCGAGGGGCCGCCCGTCCCTGCTGCCGCTGCTGGTGGGTTGCGGTGTACATGCGGGGCGATGGTGTTCTCCGCTCGCTTCGCCTCCTCTTCGGAGGATGCCGCGTCCGACCCCGTCGACATCGACGAGTGTGAATCCTCTTCTTGTTCCTCTGCTCGCGCTGTCCCTCGTCCTGCTCGGGGGGAGGCGGCCGAAGGGGTCGCGCGAGTTCCAGACCGATGTGTTGCTGCTGGTGAAGGTTCAGGCGCTGCCGCACTTGCGTGGGTGCCCGTGGGCCTTCCGCAGGATCCTGGCGAAGGCCTCCTGTTCGCCAACGGGGGCGCGTCGTCATCGGATCCTTTTTCTGCCACGGCATGGCCTTCAGCTGGAGTGCGGTCGCCGTCGGCCTCGGCATCTGCGTTCACGTTGTCTCGGATCGTTGCTCCCGATTCCGAAGATGACGCGTGTCAGAACGAGTACGACCCTAGCGACTTCGATTTCTAGTCGTGGAGTTCGTCATCATCTATACCTCCCTCGGCGCCAGCGGCCACAAGAGATACTTAGGCTTCCTCTTTGTGGTACGGCTGCTTAAACACGTTGCTGTACATTCCCCTGGTGCTGTACTTCGTTTTCTCTTTCCTGTCCCTCGCCGCCGTCGTCCTGGTGGTCGTGGAGGTGACATGGGAAGAGATTATTGGCGTGGAGCGCTGATGTCAAACAACCATACATACAAACATACATACATACATACATGCATGCATACATACATACATGACCGCATACGTCATACATACATTCATTCATACATCTATACATACATACATGATTACAGTCAGGCAGGCAGACCGACAGACAGACAGACGTACTTGCGTGCGTGCGTGCGTGCGTGCGTGCGTGCGTTCGTACGTACGTACGTACATACATACAGACACACACACACATGGGAGATCCCGGCCCCGGGGCCCAGGGCTGGCCCCTCCCTTGTACATTCTTGCCCCCCCCCCCGGCGGTTCTCCTGGAGGCTCCCGAGGCTCCCAAGGCTCCCGGACCACCCGAGAGTGCTCCCTGAGCGCCCAGGATAGCGCCTCCAGGACGCCCCGACAGAGGCCCAAGAGCGCGCCGAGACGCCCCAAGATGGCCCCACGCAGATCCGAGAGGGCCCCAGGAGGCCCAAATCGCACCATTCCCTTCGGAAAAAGTTCATTTCTATCACATTCGCATTTTCCAATCCTAACGGAGTCCACGGCTGCCCAAGAGGCGCCGAAGGGCCCCAAGACGTTATTCACGAGGATATTGCCGAGTACGTCTTTCATTTCTTACATCCTCATTTCTAGTCTCCTCCTCCTCCTCCTCCTCCTCCTCCTCCTCCTCCTCCTCCTCCTCCTCATCCTCCTCCTCCTCCTCCTCCTCCCTCCAAAACGTTCTCCCCTCCCGCGGCAGCAGCGCCAAGCAGGAAAAGGATGCCTCCGCAGCTCCCTGCGGCTCCGCGGCCCCCGCCCTGGGGCGCCGCGCCGCGCGGCGGCCCCGGCCAGGGGGGCCCCGCGGCCAATGAGGCGAGGGGGGTCCAAGGGGGCAGTGAGGTGGGGTGGGTGGGAGGGGGATGAGCTCCTCCTCCTCCTCCTCCTCCTCCTCCTCCCTCCTCCTCCTCCTCCTTCCTCCTCCTCCTCTCCTCCACATTCGCCCTCTTTCCTCCTCTTCCTCCTTCCTCCCCACTCCTCTCCTCCACCCTCCTCCTTCCTCCTCCTTCCTCCTCCTCCATCCTCCTCCTCCTCCTCCTCCTCCCTCTTCGCCCCTCCTCCCTCTTCCTCCTTCCTCCCCTCTCCTCCTCCTCCTCCTCCTCCTCCTCCTCCTCCTCCTCCTTCTTCTGTTCCTCCCTGGAGGAAGGGGGATGAGAAGACGGGGGGGTGAAGGGGAGGGGGGATGAGTAGGGATACGAAGAAAGGCGTAGACATAAAAACTCGGAGGTCCGCGCGAATTTCTCGGATCCGCGCTGGCGGCGCCTCCGGCGCCGTCCCTGGCGCGCTCCGCGCGCCAGGCAGGGGGGTCCAGGGCGCGGGCCTGCGAGTTTTTAATGTCTATGTCATTCTTCGTTCCCCTAATGAGGGGAAGGAGGGGGGGGTGGATGAGGGGGATGGGCGATGGGCGACGTCGGGAGCAGTGCGGAGCGCGCGGAGCGCGAACTAGAGGCGGGACTGCTGGAGGTCGAGCTGCGAGGAGCACCTCGAAAGCCGAGGATTTGTTTCGCTGCGCGCAACCGCTAACAACGTGCTCCTCCTCCTCCTCATCATCATCATCATTCTCCCCCTCCTCCTCTTCCTCTTCGCCCTCCTCCTCCTCATCTTCCTCCTCCCTCCCTCGCTCCCCCCCTCCCCCCTCCCTCCCTCCCTCCCTCTATCCCCCCCTTTCATTCTCATCGCCCACATCTGCACCCGCCCTCTCCCCGTTTTCCACCTTCACCTTCCGTCATCTCTTCGCCCGCATCCTGCCAGTCGGTGCGTGAGGAGACCTCGCCGCCGCCTGAAGGGGCGAGGCCGAAACGGCCCCCCCGCAGAGAGCGTCGATGGGGCGGCGCATGCGATCCTGGGCTCGGGCCAAATGGCCACGGGAGGAGAAGGAGGAGGAGGAGGAGGAAGAGGAGGAAGACGAAGAAGAAGACGAATACGAGTAATGATCAGAACAAGTAAACTGATAGTAGTATTATTATAAATAACAATACTAGTATGCATCTTACTAAAAATGATGACAATGATAATAATAGTAGTATCAGTAGTAATACGTATAACACTGTTAACGCTGCAAATGCCAATACTACGAATAATAACAATCAACGAATAATACGAATCAGCATGCTAAGTATACTAACGACGAGTAACAATAATAAACGAACCAACAAGGCGAATACGAAGAAGAAGAGGAGGAGGAGGAGCAGGGGGAGGATCATAATGATGGGGGAAGGGACGAGGGAGAGGGAACAGGAGGAGACATGAGGAGGGAGGAAAAGGAAGGAGGACGAGGTCGAGGAGGAGGACGGGGACGAAGAGGAGGAACATGACGAGGGGACAGGGAAAGCGGAAAGGGAGGGGGACGATGAGTGAAGAGGACGGGGCAGGAGGAGGGATGAGGAGAAGGATAAGGAGTATAGGATGAGAAGGAGTAGGAGTTGGAGGAATTGGAGGGAGGAGGCGGCGGAGGAGGACGACGAGGACGAGGAGGAGGACGCGGAGGAGGGCGAGGAGGAGGACGAGGAGGAGGATAGCGAGGAAGGAGGAGGGGAGGAAGGAGGAGCTGAGCAGGAGGAGGAGGATTATGATGATGAGGCGGAGAGGAGGAGGAGGGAGGAGAGGAGGAGAGGAGGAAGAGAAGGAGGAGGAGAGGAGAGAGGAGGAGGAGGACGGATCGGATGATAGAGGATAGAGGAGGGAGAAGGAGGATGAGGAGGAGGAGGAGTAGGATGAGGAGGAGAAGATGAGGAGGAAAGGAGGAGGGGAAGGAGGAGGACCCCCGGGCGGGCAGCCGGTTGGTGTGGGCGGCACGTCCCGGCGTCCGGGGGAACTGAAACCCGCTCAGTCGTGGCCTGTGTGGGGCTGCGCCGCTGCCGAAACCACCCACCCACCCACGGCATTGCCGTGGGTGAGTGGGTGGTGTCGGCAGTGGGGGCACCGACCCCGGTCTTCGGACCTAAACGGTAATCCCGATTCGGCCGCGGCCGAATCGGGTCCCCTCCACTGTCTTGGCCCGGCGGCTCCCCGGTCGCGCCAGGGTGTGGAGGGGGGTTTGGCTTCGGCCAGGCTCGTGGGGTGTCCTGCTCTGTCCCCCTTGGGCAAGGGGAAAGGGGGGAGCAGGCCTGGCTACCCATGCGCGGTAACACGCGCCGTGTGCCCCGCACGGTGGCGTGGGGTAGCCTGTGTCCCCTGGTGCAGGTAGAACCAGGGAGGCATGGGGGCCGCCCGCCTTCGGCGGGTTGGTGGAGCTCCTGATGCTCCACGTGCTGAGCCTGGCGCCTCTTCTTTTTTGCTTCTTTCTCTCCCTTCGCCCTCTTTCCCCCCCTCTCGCGCCTCGTCAGGTAGTCGCGGCCCCTAGCTCTAGGGGGTCGCGCGGCGGTGGGCGCGAGACTCATCGACCGCAACTGGTGCGCAGGGGAAGGAGGAGGAGGATAGGAGAGGGAGGACGAGGAGGAGGAGGAGGAGGAGGAGGAGGAGGAGGGGGAGGAGGAGGAGGGGGACGGGGAGGGGGACGTGGAGAGAGAGGGAGAGGGGGAAGGGGAGGGGCAAGCTAGGTGCGCTCGCGTCATATCTGACATCCTACCCCTCCCTCCCATCCCTTACCATGGCGCAGATCCCCTCTCTACTCGCACAGTCGGATGTCGAGCAGGGCAATGATCCCGAAAGGGTACGCGATGCATTGTAGAGCACGGCATGGCATGGCGCAGAAGAGCACCGCAAAGCGTAGCATCAACCTACCATTGCATTGCATGCCGTGGCATGACACGGGAAATGACGCCAGCGCTGCAGCGGGAGCACGAGTCGAAACGAGCGGAAGCGCGGAAATGAGGCCAGCGCTGCAGCGGGAGCACTATTCGGAACGGGCAGAAGCACGGAAATGAGGCCAGCGCTGCAGCGGGAACACGATTCGGAACGAGCGGGGCCCGAAAATGAGGCCGGCGCCTGAGCGAGAGCAGAATTTTGAAAAAAAATGCAGGCGAGAACCCAACTCTGGGGAAATCTGTGTGTAAAAAAACCATACGCGGGGGGGGGTCGGACACTCCCAGGCCGTCATCAGGGGAAGAGGGAGAGTAGTATTCATATTGAGTAATTGTAGATTGGGAGGAGGAGGAGGAGGAAGAGGAGGAGGAGAGGAGGAGGAGGAGGAGGAGGAGGAGGAGGAGGAGGAGGGGGAGGAGAGGAGGAGGAGGAGGAGGAGGAGGAGGAGGGGAGGAGGAGGAGGAGTGGCGAGGAGGAGAGGAGGAAGAGGAGGAGTGAGGAGGAGGAGGAGGAAGAGGAGGAGGAGGGGAGGAGGAGGACGAGGAGGAGGAGGAGGAGGAGGAGGAAGATGGGTCGCCTAAGCCCTTCGGAGAAACCCTCTACCGCACCCCCTCAGTGTTGCCAGAGGGAGTACTCGCACAGCAAAGCCTCACGAGCCAAACGGTTCAAGGCAGGCCGCCCACCCAGAGATAGAGAAGGGGGGGCGGAGACAACCGGGCGAGCACGAACTGCCGGGGCGGCCGGCGCAGCGCGGAAGGGCACGGAAAAGGAGGAGAAGAAGAGCCGCAGCGAGCAGGAGGGAAGACTGCTGTCCTGACTGGGCGTAACAGATCACCCGAATCGCTCATCCACCAGGCCAGGATAATCCTTCCGTGGCTGATCCCCCTGCGCGCCTCGCGCACCTGGAGGGGCCGTGTGGCCACCCTGGGAGCGCCTCGCGCACTTGGTGGGGCCATGTATACGCCACGCTGGTCACGGCCAGGCAAGCGCAATGCACAATGCGGAGCGGGACGTTTGAAGGCGCAGGGGGCGGGAAGCTCCGGGAGCAAGCCGCCAACGACGCCCCCGAGGCGGGTGGGCGCCGCCCCGAGGGGCAGGGGCCGGCGCCAGTGGTCATGAAAAAAACTGGAGGCTAACATGCACCGCAAAGCTGCGATCGAAGAGGGGAGGAGGAGGAGGAGGAGGAGGAGGAGGAGGAGGAGGAGGAGGAGGAGGAGGAGGAGGAGAAGGAGGAGGAG